GGGAGAGAGATAGCAGAGGGAGAGAGATAGCAGAGGGAGAGAGATAGCAGAGGGAGAGAGATAGCAGAGGGAGAGAGATAGCAGAGGGAGAGAGAGGGAGTGAGAGAGAAAGAACGTGTGTGTGAGTGAGAAGTGTTTATGTGTTGGAAGGGGGGGGGGGCACGCTCACGAAGAGAGAATTTGTGTCATTCTGATGAAGACAGACCGGGTCACTGTGGCGGGTGTAAAAAGCACCAAGATATCTCTCTCTCTCTCGCTCCATTTTCTTCTCTCCCCCGTACACACACACACGCGCACTCGACCCCGCAGTACATTGCCGGCTCCACCCAAAGAATGACCTCTCCCCGTCCTCCCTTAAGTAGACCCTTTCACAAGGGGAGGGACCGGAGGGACAGGACGGCGGCGGCTCGGGCCTCGTGATCACGACTGATGGGGTTCCGCGCGAAAAACGCGACGACAGAACCATGACGACGCGTGCACTGGGAAAGACAACGTTTCTACAGGGTGTGGAAACGCAGTAAACGTTTCCGTATCGTTTCAACTGATGAGCGCTATTTTTAAAAGGAAGGCAAGACATGGGTACATTTTAATTTTTATAGACTACGGACAGATGAAACCTCATGAAGACTTCGAACAAGGCTTTCAACGTCTCGCGTTCAAGTATCTACGTCTGCACATCAAAACTAAACCATTTGCATAAAACTCAGTTAGAGTACATACTCCAAAGTTTAATTGCGATGAATAAAATTCGATTCGTTTCTGGGAAGTCTAGTAAGACGTGCCGCGAAGCAAAGAAAAAGGCGACGACAACGCTTGAGTTCAAGATATTTGTTGGAGAATCTCTAACACCCTGACCACCCCTTCTCGACCCACAGGTCTGGGACAGACAGCCTCCTTTCGCCTCGTCCAGAGAGCGGCAACGCTGTGCCAGAGTTCCATGCCAGGGTTTGTATACGTGAGGTACATAGGAAGGTCGTACCGGAGTCGTGCCAGGGTTGAACCAAGAATCTTTTCAGAGGTCGGGTATACTGGGGACCAGGTGGCTGATAAACCCCGCGCACTCGTAGTTGGTTATACTGGACCGCACGTCGAACGGGCGGGTTGCCTACTCTCTCGGCCAGCAAGGCGCCTTGGACAGGGGCGACAAGCGAACCCGCCCACATGCGTGCGTGCGTTACAGTATAACTGCAGCAGTGCGAGGGGTTAATCAGCCACCTAGTATGTACCAAGGGTTGTGACAGGGTAGCGATGGGTTATTGGGTCTATATCGCGCGGTGGCAATACCACGATCCGCCGCATAGGCAACACAGGGTTTGATATGTTCAGTGCGGCGTGACCACCATGTGGTCATTCTTCCAAGTTATTTCGTGGGCACCAAATGGGAGCCGCATTGAATGTTTTGAGGCTCGTCAGAAAAAAAATGTGTCGGAGCGCAATGTGCGGCTAAACTCAGTAGCGACGAGGCTCACCTCGGGGCGCGCTCTCTGACAGGAAGGTCGCGCCCCCGGGGCCGCCCCGAGACCCCCCGCCGGGGTCTCCCCGGGCCGAGCCCCCCCGCCGGGGTCGCACCGTGGCGGACCGGACCGCTCCGGATGTTGTTTGATTCGCAGCCCCTGATGGCGCCGCCCCCGGCCGTCCCCGTCTGCCCTGGGCCGCCCCCGGCCGCCCCCGGCCGCCCCCTCTCCTCTGATTGGACGCTTCCTGACGCAGCCTAATCTAACCACGGCCACGGCGGAGCAGGCGGAGCGCTGTGTTTGCTTAGGACCAGGGCCGACCTGGCGCCGGCACCAGCGAGGGACGCGACGAGGAAAGTTGCATTGGGGGCGGGGGCGTCGGTGGGGACGGCGGCGGGGGCGTCGGCGGCGGGGGCCAGACCCGCAAGTTTTGCATTCTGAGACGGACGAGGATGAATCATGCCCCTATATGCGGGCAGAGGGGGGGGGGGGCGGGTGCTGATGATAAGGGCACGGAGGGAGCAGGAATGGTGCACGGGCAAACAACAGGGGGAAGGAGATAAGCGCGATCTTGTTCCAGACCGTTGTTTTACATCGGATACGCATCGGTGACGCGCACAAGCTCGCACGCACGCGCACAGAAAACCGTTTAGAGAGGCCAAATTAAAAACCAATAAAACTGAAACGGTGTGGACGAAATTTTGATTGCACAGAGTAAAGAGTTGGGTCTAGTCATCTGAACTTGGTTTTGATTGTTTCGACAATATTTACTAAAATTGAGAGGGCGTACAAAATCGTAGTTGGTTTTAGGGACTATATTTCGTTTCGTACGCCCCCTATTTGATTTGGCTGTTTCAATTAAATGGTTCTCTGGGAAAGCGCACACACGCGCACGCACACACACACACACACGAGTTCTCGTTGCACTCACCTATCTGCGGCACGTCGTACTGCCTGTTCCCGCGGGTGCTGCGCAACATGTTCTCGGAGGGGCCGAACTCCTCGTAGGGGCCGGCGTGGTGTCCGAGGCCGTGGGCGTCGCGGCCATTGCGCTTTCTGAGCGGCAGCGACGGCAGCACCGCGTTGTACAGCAGGTGCTTGGGGTGCGGGGGCGGCGGGGGGAAGTCGTCGAGCCCCAGGGCCCGCGCCGCCGCCATGCCGCCCCCGGGCCCGCCGCCGGGCCCGCTGCCGCCCCCGGGGTGCCGCAGCCAGCGCTCCGCGGCCATCGCGGCCCCCATCTCGTCGGCGTCGTCCTCGTCGGCCGGCGCCTCCGCAAAGCGCAGCTGTCGGCGCAGCCTTGGTCCGAGCGCCGCGCTCACGGCGCGCTTCACGTGCAGCTTCTTGTCGGGCTGCTGCGCCAGCTGCGCCGGCTGTTGCTGAGGCGGCTGCAGCGGCGCGGCGGCCGCGGTGGCGTGCCGGTCGCGGGGCTGGCCGTGCACGGCGGCGTGCTGGCCGAGGCCCTGGCCCAGGCCCTGGCCGAGGCCCTCGCAGCGCGGCGCCACGCTCGCCACGCACGCCAGCCCGAGAGCCAGCAGCCACGGCCAGCTCGGCCCCGTGGCCATGTACATCCTGTCACTGGGGCTAGCGGTGCTAGCGGGCGCTGCAGCAGCACATGGCGCCCGCCAGGCCGCGGCACATCCCCGCTACTGAGGCACGCTCTGCTCCGCCTGCTCCGCGCGTCGCGCCGCGCCTCGCCCCGCCTCACCCCGCCACCAGTGCCCCTCGAGGCCCCAGCCCGCCGCCC